AAACTGAAAAATGGATTGAAATTCATTTGTTTTATAAGTACAATATAAATCTCATTGTACGCAGGTAGAAAGCGGCAAATAATACAAGTCGAACATTAAGAACGCGTTGTGAGCGTTCAACAATTGACAAAACGCGTTCCGGCTGTTTAACAGTTACCAGAACGCGTTGCGAGCGTTTAAAAACAGCCAAAACGCGTTCTGTGCGTTCGAAGGCAGCCAGAACGCGATGTGGCCGTTTTTTCCGGCCACTGAGCGTTTTCTGTCTTCGAGCCTAACATATACATATAAACGTTCCGCCAAGTTGTATCTAATACTTGGTAACGAAGTATGTATTGGCCAAATTGGACAGCTACGCATTTACGTTTTTTGTTTGTTTTACTTTAATGGGGCGTTTTGACTTTTAAAATGTTCTAAACAAAGAACAGTGGCAACATTTTCTATTATTGTACGTAGCATCCCGTATATTCAATCACCAAAAAACTGCAATTTCTCAGACAAACTAGATAAAACATTCCACATTCTAAGAACAATAGTGACAGAAAAATTAAATTTCTTATTTTTTCGTATGTGAATAAAAAAGGTGAACTCTAATTGGATCTAATGCAAGAGCTCCTTTTTGTGATTTTATTTTTCTTATTGTATTAGAAGCGTACTGTTCTAAATACTTATATTTTTGTTTACTGTTGTTTAAATACGCATGTAATAGTTAATGAAGCTATTAATACTTACGTAATTAAATCTCAAATCGGGATGCATATAGTCGACCCCTGTAAGAAGAAAATTGAATAGGAGTGAAAATAAATTAGGCAAATGAGGGTGAATATTAATTAAGTATTGTAGACGTACTTGACATAACGGTCATGTTGATTAAGGCGAAAACAGAGCCGCAAAATATCCGTCAAAATGAAAAAATGTGAACTTTGCATATATCGATTTTCAATTACTGTGAAAACGTTCAAGTGTTTGCTGATTAATACATGCATATACATATGTGCTCCCACATACACTGTCTAGTAATATAATTTTATATATAGGATACTCGTTGTCTTTAAATTGGATTAATTTAGCAATTGGTTATGCAAAACATGTGTAGAATGATTAGTGCTCTATTCGTGTAGCATTCGTTTATTGCTACAAATAAAATTGATAGTTAATATTTATAAGAAGAAGAGAAATAGGCAGTTATGGAGCTGGAGCTGCAACGTAGAGAAGTAAATATTAGGAAGGGAGTTAGATAGGGATGCACATTGTCATCGCTACTTTCTAATCTATACATCGAAGACGCGATTAACGTCAAGACAGTACAACTGTAGGGATAGATATAGAGGGACAAAGGATTAGTATGCTTAGATTTCCAGATGATATAGCAGTATTAGCATCTCTACAAAACAGTATTGCATGAAAGTAAAACAAAAATACTGGTATGCAAAGGAAGAAAAAGTAGGGATAGAGCGAATGTATGGATGAGACGAAAAACTAGAAGTGGTATCTAGGAAGTCAGATAAGTCAGGACGGAAGAAGTAGTAGGGATATAAGGCAAAGGATAGCGCAGGGTCGAGTCGCCTTCAATCAAAAGAAGTCATTTCTATGCTAGCGAAAGAATAATTTAGAAATTCTAAAAAGATTGTTAAAGGTGTATACTTGGAGCATGGCGCTGTACGGATGCGAAACATGGACAGTGGGCGCGGCGGAAAAGAAAAGGTTAGAAGCGTTCGAAACGTGGTGTTACAGGCGAATGATGAGGATACCGTGGATAGAGAAGGTTAGAAATGAAATGACGAGGTATTAGAAAGAATAGGAGAACAGAGGACTCTATGGAAGTCAATAAGAAATAGGCGAGATAGGTTGGTAGGATACCTTCTCAG